TACCACATGCAATAAGAGATGAGGTTAAAAAAGAACTTGACAGAATGGTGAAATTAGATGTCATCAAACCGGAAACAGAGCCGACACCTGCTGTGAGTCCTATGGTTGTTGTAAGACAAAAAGGAAAAATAAGAATCTGCATAGATCCAATTGATGTGAACAAAAATATTCTGAGACGTCACTTCCCACTCACAAGTATAGAAGAGATCTCAGCAGACATTAAAGGTTCCAAATTCTTTGCATTGCTAGACTGTACTAAAGGATTTTGGCAAATAAGGCTATCTGAGAGGACACAAAAAATATTAACCTTTGCTACCCCATGGGGAAGATATTCTTTTAAAAGACTCCCTTTTGGTGTTTCATCCGCACCTGAAATCTTTCAAGAAATTTTGACAAACTTGCTCAGTAAATTCAAAAATGTGAAAGTGGCAATCGATGACATATTTTTACATGCAAAGACAAAAGAAGAACTCCGAAAAACAGTTAATGAAGTTATTAACACATTAAAAGTGTCAGGTTTCACACTCAATAAAGACAAATGTATTTTTGAAGCAAAAAGAATAAAATTTCTAGGACATATTGTGTCAGCTAATGGATTAGAAGCAGATCCAGAAAAGGTCCAAGCCATACAAGCTATGAGAACACCATCAAATAAAACAGAGCTACAGAGACTACTAGGTATGATTACCTACCTAAATAAGTTTATTCCCAACATTTCAGACCTAACAAATCCACTATGAAACTCAAACAATTAAAAAACCGTTGTGCTTTCAATACTGCTCAACATCACATTAACAATATTTTGTACAATGCATCAATGGGACTATATGATTATCCTACAAACATGACAGAGCCAACTGCTAGTAGCTCCTGGGGATACACCACCACCAGCCCTTTTACATCCCCACTGCAGGGGCTCAGGCCTTCCTTATGGATGGTTAAGGAGGATGGGCCATGACCCTCCACGCTGGCCCAATGCGGATTGGAGGGTATTGACGACTGCAAATGCAGCCGGGACCAACGGCTTAACGTGCCTTCCGAAGCACGGAGTAGCTCGAGAAGATAATTTTTTGGTCACCCATCCTGAGACCGACCCTTGCGAAAGTTGCTTAACGACTACGATCGCGGGCCGCGGCGCTTATCCACTACGCCACCGAGCTACTCTGGGGATACAACTCTGGACCAAATCCATCCACTTTTTCGGAAAATAATGCTGTCTGTAGCTCGAGAGGATACTACACTGCACCGAGTCCCCTAGCTTCATTCGAAACCAGTCCTTTGGATAGCTCGAGGGCACATACTCGTACCAGCGCAAGAGCACCGACTCCATCAAATTTTTCGGAATCAAGCCAAGATTCGACCGGATCATTAAACGATTTGCTGAGTTCAATCCAAAATTAAAAATATGTGTTTGATTTGTTGATTATTAAAAATTTAATAAATAAAAATGTTGTTTGACTTACTTTTATGCATTCTTGTAAAACCGCATTGAGAGCCTCGCACACTTGTGGTACGATTATTGATATCACTTGATCTGACAGCTTGAACACATCTCCAAGACTTTTATAACTGCTACCACTTGCCAAAAACCTTAACGTTATTCCAAGTCTTTCCGTCACACTTATAGATTTTCTAAAATTTGTGTCTCGTTTGCCTATTTTTGCCCCAACTAAATTTTGTAGATATTCAAATTCGGAACTGTTCATTCTTATAAAATCTTCTAAGCAACCATCAATGCCCAAATCCTCGAGATAGTTTGTGGCACTATATTTTTCTCTAGCTTTAAGCGTTCGGCGCATCCAATAAGAGCGCTTTTTCTTTTTTTTAAACAAAAAATGAAAGCTATCCCAATTAGCAAATCTTCTTCCATTTTCGTGTAGACGCCTCAGAACGGAAAACCAAACTGCGAGCCAATGCCAGATTCAAAATGTTATAAAATGTTAGTAAACACTTTCCATCAGTGTAGGAGCACTTATAACATGTAACAGTTCCTAACAAAATGTAAGAATTGACAACATTTGTTAGTAAATGTTTTAGTGTTTAAAAATGTTTATAAACGTTTGGTAACAGCAGTGTGGGAGCACCTTTTGGGTCACTCTGGTTCTGGTGGCCTCAAATGTATGTAGAGCGAGATCTTGCATAGCAGCGACACGACCGGCCAGTTCACCTTTTTTCTTTGTTGGAATAGAGATATTTATTTCTGTTAATAATTTCGATAGGCATGACTCAATACGTAATGCAAACTGGTTGGCCGTTTCACCTGATAATTGTCTGCACTCTTGCAATTCAGAGAACAGGGCAGCATAGTGCTTGCGTTCACCATATTGGGATTTTAAAAAGCTTTCTAGTTGATCCCAGTTTTCAAATTCTTTTATCGAGCAGGCACTCTCTGCTCGGCCTTCCAATTAGCTTAGAATATATTTAAGTAATATATCTTCCTGAAACGAGGAAGCTAGGTTAATTGCGTTACGACAATTGTTAAGGAATGTATTAAGTTTTTCTCTAATTCCGTCGTATTCGTTTATGAATTTGATTAAAATATTTAAATCTATTTGTGACATTGTGGTGAGAGTGGGCGTTGGTGCTTTCGATGGCCCAGGTTCCTCTTTACTATCTTTATGCATTAAGAAAAGTTCCGTTCACAAATAGAGTTAAATGATTACACAGAATATGCAACAAAGTAACAATTATAACACAAGGTAGAACAAAAATAAAAGAATAAAACAAAAGAGTCTGTGTGGAACAATGACTTGACTTACAGCAACAATGTTGCGGCTACGGCGACGACGCACGGTGGGCAGAATCGGTCGTTATCGGATCAAAAATTTATAACTTCATGATTTTTTTGTAGTACCGCAATGAAATTTGGTACAAATATTCAGTGAGATTTGGAAATTCAAATGATGTATAATTTGTAGTGTTTTTCTATATACATATATATATGTTATATGTATGACATATAAGAATAAGTAAAAAATAAAAAATACAAGAAGTAAAAAAATGGGAAAAACACAAAAATAAAATGGTAAAAAAAATAATTCCAAAAGAAAGACAAGTTTTAATGACTAAAAAGGCTAAAACTATGGTTATATACAATTACCCAATTAATAAAAAATACAAAAGAATATTTTTTTGCTGAACAAACAAACTATACTAGGCCTGTAGCTTCAGAGATTGATATAGCTCGTTACAAACATTACTAATAACTAAATATCAATAATATTTTTATTTTGGTTGTTCAGGATGGGTGGGTCAGGGTCAGTAAACGTGCGTTCACTTTCAGGTACCACTTTTAAAAGACTTACTGCCTCTACTTCAAGATTTTTTACATTTCTTAAGTAAGGTTTTCTTAACCCTTTACCGCATACGGTATCATATATGATACATTAAGAGTTTTCACAGATAAAAAAATATTGAGTCCTTTAGGCGTCTATTGATGGCTGATATTTGAACCTTGATTGTATTCGAACATGAAAAAAATATTTGCAGGTTGCCATGTTGTCTATGGTTTGTTCAATCTATCATAGAAAATATAAAACAGCCATTTGTGTCAATGAGCTTCGTTCGTGAACTAAAGTAGTCGTTATTTTATTTTTCTTCCTAGAACTAAAATATTTTTTGTGTTTTGCGTGTGAGTAAAATGGATCCCAGGAAGTTTTACGGAAAAACATGTAAGTAATAACAACTACTTCTTGATGAAAAATAGATTAGAACTTAGTATCTGAAATAATACTGTATGCAGTTATGTCAGTTTCTCGTTTTCAAATATGAGACTACAGGCAATAAAGTTTGCATCAATGCTCGATCAGATATGATACAACGTGCAATGTGGGTAGAAGAAATATTATTTATATATTTATAAATGATGACCTGTTTGGCGTAAGGGTAAAGATCATGGGCGTAGCCACAGTGGGGCAGGATGGGACGATTGCCCCACCCTGGCACTGACCTGTAAGGTACCTTATGACACAAAACACTTAATTATCTAGGTACTAACTACAATACCTTACACACACAAGAATATTGTGATTTTCGTTTATGAACGTAAATAAGTGGTTGACTTGAGGAGTTAGATCAGTCTAGGGTCGCTTTGACCCTAAACTACTGCCCCACCCTGAGCCCATGGCTGGCTACGCCCATGGCAAAGATACCTGGCTTTTACGCAGAGGTCGCGGATTCATTTAACATGTCTATTTGTGTTGGTCAGGGTGTATGTATTCTTTTATTTTTGTTCTACCTTGTGTTATAATTGTTACTTTGTTGCATATTCTGTGTAATCATTTAACTCTATTTGTGAACGGAACTTTTCTTAATGCATAAAGATAGTAAAGAGGAACCTGGGCCATCGAAAGCACCAACGCCCACTCTCACCACAATGTCACAAATAGATTTAAATATTTTAATCAAATTCATAAACGAATACGACGGAATTAGAGAAAAACTTAATACATTCCTTAACAATTGTCGTAACGCAATTAACCTAGCTTCCTCGTTTCAGGAAGATATATTACTTAAATATATTCTAAGCTAATTGGAAGGCCGAGCAGAGAGTGCCTGCTCGATAAAAGAATTTGAAAACTGGGATCAACTAGAAAGCTTTTTAAAATCCCAATATGGTGAACGCAAGCACTATGCTGCCCTGTTCTCTGAATTGCAAGAGTGCAGACAATTATCAGGTGAAACGGCCAACCAGTTTGCATTACGTATTGAGTCATGCCTATCGAAATTATTAACAGAAATAAATATCTCTATTCCAACAAAGAAAAAAGGTGAACTGGCCGGTCGTGTCGCTGCTATGCAAGATCTCGCTCTACATACATTTGAGGCCACCAGAACCAGAGTGACCCAAAAGGTGCTCCCACACTGCTGTTACCAAACGTTTATAAACATTTTTAAACACTAAAACATTTACTAACAAATGTTGTCAATTCTTACATTTTGTTAGGAACTGTTACATGTTATAAGTGCTCCTACACTGATGGAAAGTGTTTACTAACATTTTATAACATTTTGAATCTGGCATTGGCTCGCAGTTTGGTTTTCCGTTCTGAGGCGTCTACACGAAAATGGAAGAAGATTTGCTAATTGGGATAGCTTTCATTTTTTGTTTAAAAAAAAGAAAAAGCGCTCTTATTGGATGCGCCGAACGCTTAAAGCTAGAGAAAAATATAGTGCCACAAACTATCTCGAGGATTTGGGCATTGATGGTTGCTTAGAAGATTTTATAAGAATGAACAGTTCCGAATTTGAATATCTACAAAATTTAGTTGGGGCAAAAATAGGCAAACGAGACACAAATTTTAGAAAATCTATAAGTGTGACGGAAAGACTTGGAATAACGTTAAGGTTTTTGGCAAGTGGTAGCAGTTATAAAAGTCTTGGAGATGTGTTCAAGCTGTCAGATCAAGTGATATCAATAATCGTACCACAAGTGTGCGAGGCTCTCAATGCGGTTTTACAAGAATGCATAAAAGTAAGTCAAACAACATTTTTATTTATTAAATTTTTAATAATCAACAAATCAAACACATATTTTTAATTTTGGATTGAACTCAGCAAATCGTTTAATGATCCGGTCGAATCTTGGCTTGATTCCGAAAAATTTGATGGAGTCGGTGCTCTTGCGCTGGTACGAGTATGTGCCCTCGAGCTATCCAAAGGACTGGTTTCGAATGAAGCTAGGGGACTCGGTGCAGTGTAGTATCCTCTCGAGCTACAGACAGCATTATTTTCCGAAAAAGTGGATGGATTTGGTCCAGAGTTGTATCCCCAGAGTAGCTCGGTGGCGTAGTGGATAAGCGCCGCGGCCCGCGATCGTAGTCGTTAAGCAACTTTCGCAAGGGTCGGTCTCAGGATGGGTGACCAAAAAATTATCTTCTCGAGCTACTCCGTGCTTCGGAAGGCACGTTAAGCCGTTGGTCCCGGCTGCATTTGCAGTCGTCAATACCCTCCAATCCGCATTGGGCCAGCGTGGAGGGTCATGGCCCATCCTCCTTAACCATCCATAAGGAAGGCCTGAGCCCCTGCAGTGGGGATGTAAAAGGGCTGGTGGTGGTGTATCCCCAGGAGCTACTAGCAGTTGGCTCTGTCATGTTTGTAGGATAATCATATAGTCCCATTGATGCATTGTACAAAATATTGTTAATGTGATGTTGAGCAGTATTGAAAGCACAACGGTTTTTTAATTGTTTGAGTTTCATAGAGACATACTCTCCAAATGCGTCACTTTCATCCTTGCTCTTTCTAGTTTCGTGCATGCTTTGTAAAATCTTTAAAGCTTCTTGTTGTGTTGTATCGTTTTCTTCTTGTGGCCGTCTTCTTTTGCGAAATGTTTTTGGGGTGGGGAACACCTTCTCCGTAGTTTCGTTTAGAGTGACAGTATTTTCTGATTCGTTCAAACTATCACTTCTGTTTTCTTCGTTACCCTGAAAGAATAGAAGTAAACGATAACTACAAGTTACTTAATGTTCTATTTTTTTTTCCAGTTACCGACAACACCCCAAGAGTGGCTATGCGTGGCAAATAAATTTTTAACCAAATGGAATTTCCCAAATTGCTTAGGAAGTATCGATGGGAAGCACGTAGCCATACAAAAGCCAATTGATAGCGGCAGTGAATATTACAATTATAAAGGATTTTACAGCGTTGTACTTTTAGCGCTAGTGGACGCAGAATATAACTTTTTATACGTGAATATTGGCTGCCAAGGACGCATAAGTGATGGTGGAGTTTTCGCAAACACAAAATTTCGAAAAAAAATTAACGACTATAGTTTGAATATACCCAATGACAGCTCACTACCAGGCAGAAACAAACCTGTTCCTTATGTGTTCGTAACAGATGATGCGTTCCCGTTAGAAAAACACTTGTTAAAACCTTTTCCAGGACCACAGGATAGCAATTCTAAGGAAAGAATCTTCAGTTATAGACTGAGTCGTGCGAGGAGAACAGTAGAGAATGCATTTGGGATTTTGTCGGCAGATTTAGAGTTTTACGAACTATAATATTATTAGATCCAGAAAAAACTACTACTTTAATTATGACATGCGTGCTACTGCATAATTTTCTAAGAAAAACTGGATCGAGCATGATTTACGCTCCACCTCAATACTACGATGGCGACGACTTAACTGGTAGACGTATCGATGGACAATGGAGATTAGAAGAGCAGCAATTAACACCACTAGAACAATGTGAATCCCAAGATTCCCAGTCAGATGATGGGAAAGAAATAAGAAAAGAATTCGCTGAATATTTTTCAAATGAAGGGTTATTGGACTGGGCATCTAAATACTATTAAAAGACGTTAAAATAAAACTCACCTGCAACCCTCCATCGACAGTTGAGCTTGGGATATTTTTGCCCTTTAGGAACATGAGTTTTTTATATGCAAACCATTTAATTGATTCATCACCTCCTGCACCAGATTTAGATTTAGATTCTCGGTTAAATTGACCTACGAGGGATCGAATCTTTTTTTCAATTACTTTTTTATCCACATTAAATTCACTGGCAATTTCCATCCAAGCATCGTGTTTCTTATTTCGGTCTTTGTAGTCCTCTGATATCGTGTTCCACAGTAGTTCTCCTGCTTGAAACATTTCAATCAATTTGTAAACATTTTCGTTACTCCAGGTATAAACTGACATATTTTTATTGCTTGGCGCACGCGCAACCACTAATCTATCTATTCGCACGTCGACGCACGCTGAATTAAACAAAGGGACTGACAGACACGGCACGCGGCGACCGACCCCACCCGCACCCCCGACTCACCGCATACCCCGCCGTCACCTGTATAAAATGTTTACAAACAAAAGATAACACATGTTTTATTCTGTTGAACAATTTTGTTCAAAAATGTTAATTAACGTTTACTAACATGAAAACATTTTTTGACTTTTGTGATTAAATGTTTGCTAACAAATGTTTACTAACGTTACTAAACATTCTATAACAGCAGTGTGGGAGCATCTAAACACAAATAACAATTATGTGGTTATGGGCAAAAATAGTTGAGGTGAATTTTTAAGTTAATGTTTTTTTTTTTAAAGTATCATACACTGTATTAAAAATTATTAAAATATGATAAAATATTCAATATTTTTGTTATTTGTACATTTTTTTTGCACATAGACCACTATGGTCCTTAGCATTGACAATATTTTTATAAATGGTGTATGAATAATAGGCCAATATGTATGAATCATAGCACGTTTTTTATTAATTTAAATATAAATTACCATTTGCAACTTAAATAGTACAAATTTGGCTTAGAACTAGCTTCTTTATCACTGTGTAATTTTAATTAAACTCTTGTTTTACTGTAAATCATACATTATTAACATATAATAGTTCTTCCTTAAACTTAAGACTATCTTTTGCATAACATAACATAGTAATTAATTAGTCAGTCAGTTTAATCAGTCGAAGAATCACTAATTGCACCATCTAGTTCGTTCCCCGCATTGGAAGCGACTTTGAGCTGTTGATAGAATGGGTGATAGATAGATGGAACATATTCCAAAAGACATAGAAGATCCTTTTTTTTTCATGGCTGATTTTTCTTCCTTCTGGAAATAAAAGTTCTAGTTCAAAGCTTGAAGTATTTTGGGATGACCTCTTGCTGAAATTGACCTCCGTGAAAAGTATATCTGGCTCGTTGGAGTATTTGAAGAACATCGAGAATGGATGGCTCTTATTGTACAAAATCCACTGTATTTTAAGCCATTGAACTTTACTTCCATCAACGCCGATCTTCCTGTTTGTGATATTAGTTTCCAAGGCTTTGGTGGATATAAAGGCGTCTCGTTTCATTTCCACAATTTGGAAAGGTTTCTTTTTCCTTGCTGCTAGTATCACATTGTTCCAATGTTCGGGAACGTATATGTTTGGGAAATACTTCTTTTGTTTTTCCACCAAACCGAAAGCCCGGTCGCAAGATGAAAACGAATGCCCGCTGACCGTGAATTTGTGATCTATATTTTCCACTGTAAATTAAGGACAAGAAACTATGTGCATACATAACGCTGCGACTTTTATGTTGCGGTTTTGCCCGCCACACTGGTCAGAGTACATGATAAGCCTCTTTGTATGTACATGTTCTCTAATAAATTTTAGAAGGCATGAACCTATTTCTTGTGGTCCCCTGGATGCTGTCGATTCATCCCAGACATACATAAACATTTCGTCTGTACCAGCATTGTGAATGCCTAAACAGTAGGTCCACAACTGACGCTTGTAGTAGCAAATACCAGTTGAAATGACTGGTGCTGGGAGTGTCTTCATTAAGTCAAATATTATGACGGTAGTATCGTTATCCTGCTTCGCATTTTGCATGTCAAGTTTTAAATTTGTCATTGCAGATTCTGCTTTCCGTAAATGAAGCTCTTTGGCGATAGTAAGCTCATTTTTTTTAGATATCTCGTTGGTATCGCAAGCGTCAATTTTAACTTTAAAATTGTCGCATCGCTTACAAGAGTCAGTTACTGGAGCATGAAAAGTAAGATTGAAATTTTCATTAAATATTTTTTCGAAAATAAATTTTGAAACTGGTACTTCAACCTTACTTTTGTATTCTGAATACATTATTGACAAATTCAAGTGAGGAGGCAAGTACTGTCTTGTTTCACTTTTGTGTCTTGTGTAGTGAGAATCATATTTCGGGAAAGTATTGATGAAATCCTTAACTTCGTTTATTTTTGTGTCTGGAGTTTTATTCGACGGGATGTGCCTGCCTCTCTTATCAATGGGAGCGGGATCGCCATGGGGCTTATTTTTCAGAACCCTTGTAAGGCGTCCGTCCGATACTTTAAAAACTTGTTTAAAAAATGATTTGCACACACGAATATGTTTTCCATTCGCCTCTGGTAAGTGATATAATCGAGACTCCTTGGGCTTTGATGTGGTGTTTCCCAGCTACCCGTTCCGTTGAGGTGTCTCTGACTCTCACATAAGACCTTGCTTTTACCATGACATATAGATATAGATGTATAATATGCACTTTGCAAATCAAAATTTCCTAAATCATAAAACTTTGTAAAAAGTTGTTTTTGTCGGTCATGTCCAATTTTTTCGTGACATTTTTGATTACAGGTGCATTGAAGACCTGTATCTATTTGTTTAGCGGGAATGAGAACGCCTTTAGTATTTACGTATGACTCACCTCTAGCTCTTTTATTTTTTCTCACATTCTTTTTCCATAAATTTTCTTTGCGTATACGCTTTCTTGTATCTTTGCTTGTAGAAACAGATGAATGACCCTCATCATTCCCTTCAGACCCAGACGAGTCCCCAAGAATGTCTCGTAAACTCCTTGATGAGCTCCTGCTACCTTGTTCCGGGACGTACTCAGAACCCGAATCTTCATAGGGCTCCACAGGACTCAATCCAAATATGTCTACAAAATAAATGTAAATTAATAGCAAAACCTACCCTAAGAAATCATTAAAACTTCTTTTTATACCCTATTAAAAAAACATCTATACAAGAACACCTTTCTCAATAGATTAATACGCGATAAAGATAAATTATTTTACTACGGACCTCTAAAAAAGTAAGCTTACCTCGTAATAATTCTTGTTCAATGTAGTCAGTAGCCGTATTCGCAGTTGCACTCATTGTAGCTTCTGCTGGATCTGTCTCAAACAAAATTTGACAATAAAAATACTGAAAAAAAATAACCTTACAAACTCAACATTTTAAACTAAGGGTTACCTCGTATGTCATCTTCAATGACTTTAGTAGCTTCATCCTCAGTTAAACTCATTGTAATTCCTGCTAGATCTGTCCGAAACGAAAGTATAAAATTTAAGTTAATTTATAGGTTACAATTTATAGACAAAAATTTAAATATCTGACTAATAACATGTATTCTTACCTCTTAAGCTTATTGCTGTACCGCCAACACTTTCCCGCACGTTTGCGTAGAATAATAACTTATATTAACACACTTATTGCGTAAAAACACCGGTATTGTTACCGCACAAACAATAATGTTTACACGAAAATATCCAAGACCAGAATGGCCCAAGTCACATGAGCCGTAATGGCGGAAAATTCTATAGTGACCCAAGTATTCTGGGCCACTATGCTCTATTACTATTGCACTAAGTATCAAAACGCCAAAACAAATATGTTTAACGCCATCTACGATTTTATACTGAAATGACATTTGAGCCACTCTGGCTACGAATTTAGGGGTTTAAAAAGACGCATTGCCGTGGTCAACTAAAATATCGAAAATTGTGGTTTGGGCCGCTCTGGTTCTGGTGGCCTCATTTATTATCGGTATTAATTCTCAACTTTCAACGGTAGTCAGATGGCGCGATCCAGAAACATTGAATGACGCAATTAACTTCGCTGTTTCAGAAGAAAAGCTCCTCTTAGCCACGACGCGTCGTAACGCTAACCATTTCCAAAATTATGCGCGTCCTCGTCAACAAAATAATAGGCCATTCCCGCGACAACCTAACCGTCCGTCAGATTATTCAACAAAACCATCATTCGGGTCTAATGCTATTTCCGTGTGCCGATATTGCAAAATTCCGGAACACAATATCGAAAATTGTCGCAAACGCGAATATAATAATAGGCGGTTCTCTCAATTTAATCAACCTATTCGTGAAAATCCTAATACGTATTTTCAGAAGCGTCAGCCTATCCATGCCGTAAATTCTCATGATGACGAAGGTATCGACGAAACCGACAAAAACAATTTAAACTAAATGGCTCTCTCGTCTGGTATCGTGCGGGAGAGAAGAAAACGAAAGTCGATACCACATCACAATCACCGAATCCAATAAAATCAAATTCGCGATCTAACAAACAGTGTATCCAGCCCCAAACCTCTAGATCAGCTATTATAAATTCAAATTCGCGATCTAACAAACAGGGTATCCAGCCCCAAACTTCTAGATCAGCCATTATAAATTCAAATTCGCGATCTAACAAACAGGGTAACCAGCCCCAAACTTCTAGATCAGCCATTATAGAATCAAACACGCTGTCTAACAAACAGGGTAACCAGCTTCAAACTTATAGACATGTCTTCTCTGTATCCAAGCAGTTTAACAAACAGGGTAAACAGCCCCAAAACTCATAGACATGCTATCTCTGTATCCAAGCAGTCTAACAAACAGGGTAACCAGCCCCAAACTTATAGACATGCTTTCTCTGTATCCAAGCAGTCTAACAAACAGGGTAACCAGCCCCAAACTTATAGACATGCCTTCACTGTATCTAAGCAGTCTAACAAACAGGTTAACCAGCCCCAAATTCATAGACATGCTATCTCTGTATCCAAGCAGTCTAACAAACAGGGTAACCAGCCCCAAACTTTTAGACATGCCTTCACTGTATCTAAGCAGTCTAACAAACAGGGTAACCAGCCCCAAATTCATAGACATGCTATCTCTGTATCCATGCAGTCTTACAAACAGGGTAACCAGCCCCAAATTCATAGATCTGCCAAATTCTCACTGGTTGCGGTTGCGGTGGACTCGTTCTCGGTACCCTTTTGAGTAACTCGTCCGCTCCGTCGTGCCGCTCGAAGTGGTGCAGGTTCGTGCTTGTGGTGGCTTGGTAGGTAGAGGAAGTGTCTCCTCTACGTTGACGATCTAGGGTGCCTCGCTCCTGGGATTCGTCAATAAAACGATGCTTCTCGTATTCTATACATGTTTAATTTTCCCCTCAGTATTATTACATGTACATATGGCGTCTCGCCGCTTATTATGTATTACATTTGTAAGCAATATTACACCTTTTAGTTACATCAGATCATCGATATCACTTGTTGTATTAAGTATGGCGCGCGACGCGATATATCGTAATTATTACTAACTAATGCGGCTGCAACGCCGTGCGTGACCGTGCTCTAAGACGGCTTGGGTGAGACACCTAAAATATCCTGAGAGCGGCGCTGCGTGCGCCCGCGTCGTATAGGGATGTGCCCGTTTCGCATGAACACTCACTGTATCCTGAAAGAAAGAAAATCATAAGAGGTCAGAACTCCGACCTACTATTACTATATCCTCGTCGAAACTTAAATCTGAAAAACCTCGCTCAGTACTTACTAGCAGTAAAAATGTTAATCCAAACGATCCCATCACAGACTGTAACTTCTCCTTCCTCTGCTTCTGAAAAAGAAAAAACTAAAATATATAATATTACTACAAGCCCATCAAAAAGGCACTTACCTTTTATTAAAGTCCAAACGTCAGTCTCCAAAGAGTCTTTGACATTCCTAGTTGATACTGGTGCTGCTATAAGCATAATAAAAAAAATGCTCAGTCGAAAAAATGCCTAATATAACTTGGAGCGATTATGTAACCTTTACCGGACTTGGCAACGAAGACAATCCCATGATATCCTTAGGTACCATTCCAGTCACATTTAAATCTTTAACTAATAAATTTCATCTCGTAGGTCATTTAAAATTCCCATATGATGGTATTATAGGTAACGATATCCTTTTTAAGTCTTCTAGCAATATAGATTTTGCCAATGATAGTCTAACGATAAACAAAATCTCAATGCCCCTTAAATTCACTGAACCAATTTATGTTATTGCACCTCGTACTGAAACGATCATCAAATGCTCGGTTCAAAACCCTGAAATTAAAGAAGGTCTTATGATAGATCAAAACCCTGTCGAATCTTTGCTAATAGCAAATTGTATAGTAAAAGTCAAATTAAACAAACGTGTAAACATTACTGTAGTAAATACTTCCGAATCCCCTTTGACAGTCAGTTCCGATTTAAAATTAAAAATATAATTGAAAGATGATAACAGTTACCAGATTTTTCATACTACTCGTCTTAATGATAAATCATTCCATGAGTGTGCTAGACCGCACTCAACAAGTAATCGACCTCCTTCGAGTCTCTCACTTAAATCGTGAAGAAACAAATGCAATTTACGATCTTTGCTCAAATTTTTCAGATATGTTCCATCTTCCTAATGACAAATTGACTCATACTGAAGCCATGAACATGAAATAAATACCACTTCTTCAGACCCAATCAATACAAAATCCCATAGGTTTCCCGAAATTCATAAAAAAGAAGTCCAAAAACAAATCGATAAAATGCTTGATGATGGAATAATCAAACCTTCGACATCTCCGTGGTCGTCTCCCATATGGGTCGTCCCAAAGAAAACAGATGCTTCTGGCCAACGAAAATGGAGAGTCGTAATCGACTATCGCAAACTCAATGACATCACCATAGGCGATTCTTATCCTATTCCAAATATCAGTGAAATCCTAGACCAATTAGGTAAAAGCAAATATTTTAGTACTCTTGATCTCGCTTCTGGGTTCCACCAAATTAAGATGTCAGAACGTGATTCTCCCAAAACAGCCTTCTCCGTTCCTCAAGGACACTTCGAATTTACTCGCATTGATGAATTTCGCTCTCTCAGGCCTACAAGGTTTACAATGCTATGTCTACTTAGATGACATAGTCATCTACTCCTATGATCTTCCATCTCACATTAAATCTCTTTCCAATATATTCGATAGACTCCGGCATTTCAATCTAAAACTTCAACCCGATAAGTGCGAATTTCTCCGCAAAGAAGTATCCTATCTTGGACACATCATTACCGACAAAGGCGTCAAGCCAAATCCAGAAAAAAATAAAGCCGTACAACAATTTCCAGAACCTAAATGCTCGAAAGACATTAAATCATTCATGGGTCTAGTATCTTATTACCGACGTTTTATACCCAATTTATCTAAAATTGCTAAATCATTGACCAACCTTCTAAAGAAAGACGTCCAATTCAACTGGCAAAATGAACACTAATTAGCTTTCGAACAACTAAAAAATTGTCTAACTTCTGCCCTCTACTCAAATATCCTGATTTTACCAAACCATTTGTCTTAACATGTGACGCATCCAATTTCGCTATCTCTGCTATTCTATCCCAAGGTCCAATAGGTAGCGACCAACCCATTGCATATGCTTCTAGAACTCTAAATAAAGCAGAAAGTAACTCAGTACGACCGAAAAAGAATGCCTCGCGATACTCTTCGGTACTTAAACCTTCCGGCCCTATTTGTATGGCCGACGTTTTACGATAGTGACAGATCATCGCCCACTCAAATGGCTCTTCAATCACAAAGATCCTGGCTCCAAACTCATAAGATGGAGACTTAAACTAGAAGAATTTGATTACGAAATTGAATATAAAAAAGGCAAAATCAATAGCAACGCCGATGCTCTATCACGATATTCTGTTACCCCATCCTGCCTCAAAATGATAATCCTACAGAATCCAACGAAAGTTCAACCTCGCGATCAGACGTCCCTGAAAATGAAAATCCTGTTGTAAATTCCGATGAATCTCAGGCCTTCAGCCCTATAACCCTAGGAGACCTCGAAATCCCTTCTAGTCTCCTTGGATCCAACAGCAACTTACCTTCTTTACAATTACTTTACGATGAAGAACTATCCTTATCTGCATACAGCCCTGGAAAAAGTAATCTTACATCTGATCCTCCTGCTATAAAGAGCACCTCTTCTGTAAAAATCTCCAATCCACCAGTCTCCACTCGAATACCTGAAACAACAGATAACATTACTAATCCTTATTCCAACACAGACTATAACACATTTCTAAAATCATTTAATAAAAAAGATGAGTCATACAATACCTATATCCAAGAGCACAACGAATCCCTTCTTAAAAGTAGCTGGAAAACAATTCTAGTCCCTGTATCAATTGATTTAGACGAATCTAATCCTTACCTACAAGATATCCTTGCTGAAGCCGATAATTCCGAAGACGTTCTTAACTCTGAAAGAGAACTCCATTCTATTAAGAAAGTTACAGCAAAAAGGAAAACCTACTATCTTCTGTTTACTAAAGTTTATTATTTTGATGCAAGTACTTACCCAGAAATATTCAAAACTCTTAAAGCCGCTCGAGATGATATCCTACTCGCCGGTGATATCAATATTATTGCTATATCTGACTTTAAAAATCTTTTTGAACAACATTCGCTTGTAAAAATTTATGGTATGCTCATGTATCTATTTAACAACACTAAATATAACTATTAATATTCATATTCATCATAATTCTATTATTTATCCCGTTCCCACTGAAATTGCGAAAATCTTAAAGGAAAATCATGACATTCCTATTGCTGGTCATCTCGGTTCTCAAAGAATGTACAGCAGAATTAAAGAAAGGTATTATTGGAAAAATATGAGAACTGATATTGAAACATATGTAAAAAATTGAAAATTATGCCAGTCTAATAAAGCACTAAGGAAAATTAATCGATCCCTAATGCAAATAACTACCACCTCTACTCGTCCCTTCGAAAGAATTAGTCTCGATATAGTCGTTCCTTTACCCGAAGCGGGTCTTCTCAAATTAAAATTCATTCTTACTCTCCAAGATTGTGAAACTTGTGAATGTTTAGTGCATTTCATTTCATTATTTGGCATTCCCAAATCAATCTTAACGGACCAAGGCACTAATTTCACCGCAGATCTATTCAAACATACCTGCGAATTTCTCAAGATCAAACAAATCTGGTCATCGCCCTACCATCCGCAAACCCAAGGCGCCTTAGAGCGTAGTCATTCCACATTAAAAGAATACCTTAAGTCGTATGTTAACGAGAATCAAACCGATTGGCACAAATACGTGTACACCGCCATGCTTACGTATAATAGCAGTGTACATACTACTACAAAATTTACTCCTTATGAACTTCTTATTGGACACAAACCTTGTATCCCAGATTCCATTTTTAACCAAAACTCCGATATAATTTATCCAGAATATATCAAAATGCTCCAACATCGCCTCAAAATATCTCGCGAAAAGGCCATAGAAAATATTAACTCTTCAAAAGAACGGTCGAAAACTTACTATGACAAACATTCACGACCCATCCAATATAAAGTAGGAGATTATGTTTATTTAAAAAATCATGTAAGATTAAGGAAAGCTCTCTTCAATATGGAAAGGCCCTTATAAAATCGTTAAAATCCATGGGAACAATATGCTTTCCCTGCTTATTAATAGGAGATACGTAAAACATCACTATGATGAAATCAAACCGGCTTCTGATATCCATTAAGATATTGTCAAATTTATATTCTTTTATTATTTTAAATTAACATTCATATTATACACCTAAAACTTTACATTACTTTTTCTTTTATACATCATTTTATACTTATTTTAGTCTTAAGAAATTGTTTACATTTACAACTTTACATCTTATAATTTTACTCTATACATCTTATATTTTAATCCGTTTACAGAATCACCGTGGGCAGGTGTGAAGGTCAATATATCGACTACATCACCAAGAGCCCTGGCATACTTTTTGACCCTGTCGGCACTCTTAGAATCGTAAACGATGAATTCCATATCGTCGTCCCTGTTGATGTATCCCCGCTCGAAAAACATATAGAAAACATTCACGACGTATTCAATATCATTCGGTCTCAATGTTGTGAAAATGATCAAATAGATCACGTACAATGTCAGGACCTCTTACAACCTTTAGAAGCTCTTTATGTAGATATCACACGAGACTTCAAATCTATCTCTCATATAATGTCCAATAGCATATCTAAAAGATCTTGGTTCGGAGGAACAGGTGTTGCATTCAAACATATATTTGGTACACTAGACGAGGACGACGCTCAAAATTATTAAAACGCTATTCAAACCCTTTACAAGAACGACAAAAAGTTAAGCGCCTCAATCAAAAAAGCCATAATGGTATCGCAGTCTGCTATTTCCAATATAAACCAATCCATTCACGAATTAAACATGAATGAAGCGAAATTATCCGATGTTATAGACAGTCTATGATTTTCCGTAAAAAATATATCCAATGTTGTAAATGTAATAAGTTTTAAGGTTAGATTTAATGATATTTTAAATGTCTTGAAAGCCAATTTACTTACCATTTCTTTTAAAATCGAAGATCTTTTAAATTCCATCTTATTTGTCAAAAGTAATACATTACACCCTTCCATTTTAACTCCGAGTCAAATGTATAATGTAAGCAATTTAAAAATTTTACCTAAATATAAGGATTTTCCAGTTGATTTAGATTTAAGCAATATTCACATGTTAAAAGTAATAGGTTAATGTTCAGTGTCAAACTTCCTTTAGTAAATCTGCAACAGTATAATATACAACGTGTCCCAAAATTCAACGATAAGCGGGCGCCAAGAGGTAGACCTGCTCATGTGTACTTATGGAAAAATAAGAAAAAAAATTATATCTTATTAATCTTTTTTATTATAAAATAAAATTCGAAAATTTTCGAAAATTTACACCTTTTATGATATTTTCAACTACCACGACCACAACTTCTCAATTATGTTCAATCTTTTTTTGGTATCGGATACCTAAGTAGTACTAATATTCGCTACAACTGTTAAAAACACCAAAATGCCCACAGTATTTACACAAAAAACAATCAAAATGTATTTTTTCCCTTAAATTTTCACAGATTTTTACGTTCCGTAATCTTTGACTCACAGTACAAACTAAAAATCATACCATTTAGAATCAAGAACCAAAGTTGTGAGTAATAAATTGTACTGTTCCGAAATGTTTTAATATTTAAAAAAAAAATATTGAAATAAAACAATAGTGAGTTTTAGTCTCATTCATTTATTAATAATTAACATTACAGTAAATGTTCAAATTGTTTTCCACCGGCATTAATACATGCACGACATCGCCTTATAAAAGAGCGTTTTATTTTTCGTGCATACCTTTTAGCATTGATATGTGACGCAGCCTGACTAATTTTTTGCCGAAGCTCGTCCAATGTCGTAATGGGTTTTTCATAGATTTTGTCTTTGAGACAACCCCAATAGAAAAAGTCCAGGGGGTTTAGGTCGGGTGATCGGGGTGGCCATAAGATAGGACCAAGTCGCCCAATCCAACGCCCGGAATACTCTTGGTCCAAGTATTGTCTCACAGGACGAGCGTAGTGAGCTGGGCAACCATCATTTTGAAACCACATATTTTGTAGATCTCTTAAGGGGACGTCTTCAAGCAATTCTGGCAAATCATTTTGTAAAAAGTTCAAATAACTGTCACCATCCAAGTTTCCTTGTAGTTCAAAAGGCCCGATCACTTTTCCATTTAATATGCCCGTCCATAGGTTAACCTTAAACTGATATTGGGATTTTTCCTGTCTCATTAGGTGTGGATTTTCATTGCTCCAGCTGTGTAGGTTGTGGAGGTTTAAATATCCATCTTTCTTGCATGTTGTTTCGTCCGACCATAGTATTTTGTCCAAGAATTGAGGATCTTCCCGGTGCTTTTGAAGCATAATACGGCAAAATGTGATCCGTAGTGGATAGTCCCGTGGTAGCAATGTTTGCACACGTCTGTAGTGTTATGGGTAAAGTCTGTGACGTTTTAAAATTCGATGAGCCGTACTTTTTGGGATTCCCGTAGCTGCTTCTATGACGCGTACTGAAGTAGTTGAGTCAATGTTTATTTCATTGAGAACTTCTTCATCGTATTCCGATCTAGGTCTTCCAGCGTTGCTTCTGGCTGATGGCAAACGACCCTCCGAGAACGCTCGATGCACATTCATAAATAGTCGGTAATCTGGGTATCTTTGGGCGTTCGGGTACCTTTCCCGATACAATCTGCTAGCAGCGTTAGCATTGCACCGACATTCTCCATAAATGAGGTGCATATTAGCGTATTCCATCGGCGTGTATGGTAGCGGCATGATAACGCTAAACAATCAAAAATACGACGAAAGTCGAATTCACAAAACACTATCACAGTCCAGATTAATGCCAGGTTAGTTCAGTTTGCAGATCACTTAATTCCAGTCCAAAATAGAAAGCCAAAAGTCGTTAGTATGAGAGCCACGTCAATTGAATACAAAAAAGGTGCGCAGTAAACAAAGGAGCAGAACGTACTGATCCGACTTCAGATTTGCTGAGAACAGGATTTCTCTATGTACCTGCATTGTTGTTATTCTACAAAAAATATCTATCTCTCCCTCTCTAACATACCCTTCTCGCTATCTGTTGAGTCAACTATATGTTGAGCCATTACAAACGTGCGAACTGAGTTAGAAAAACAAATTACGTCAAAGGAATGTGACAATGCCGCAGAACTCGTTTTCGATAAAGGGATGCAGCCGCTCGGGTGTAGGTAGCTGGTAGAATTGGTAATTTGGTATACATAGACACAAGTAAAGTTCGAAGTGGCATGAAAAACAATACTTTCAAAATAGCAGAAATAGAGCATTACCTAATAAATAAATATCTAATGAATATTTATAATTTGGTTCGTTTGTTTACAAATGGTGTGCATATTTTTTTACTGTGACTAGTTATCTTAGATTATTATACCATTTTGGAATCTTGATGAGTTCAGTTAATTTTAAAAACAACTTGCCACAGTGGTGTCCATACTTTTTATTACAAGACCGTAAGTCAAAGATTACGGAACGTAAAAATCTGTGAAAATTTACATTTTCATTGTTTTTTGTGTAAAAACTGCGGGCATTTTGGTGTTTTTAAGAGTTGTAGCGAATAGTAGTGCTACTTAGGTATCCGATACCAAAAAAAGATTGAACATAATTGAGAAGTTGTGGTCGTGGTAGTTGAAAATATCATAAAAGGTGTAAATTTTCGAAGATTTTCGAATTTAATTTTATAATAAAAAAGATTAATATGATATAATTTTTTTCTTATTTTTCCATAAGTACACATGAGCAGGTCTACCTCTTGGCGCCCGCTTATCGTTGAATTTTGGGACACGTTGTATATAAGAATATACCTCTGCCAACTCCACATACAGACGGAAAGTTAAATTCATTTGCTTTGATAATTCCCGCGGAACAATTTTTAGCAATTTCGAAAGATAAATTATCATATACTTACCTTAAAGATTTAAATAATTGTAAAAATATACTTACCAAAACTTACCTTTGTGAAACCACCGACATTTACGCCGTTCTTAATAATCCATCTTGTGAAATTGAAATTATAACGAAAGCCTCATAGCCGGTGATGTGGATATTTGGCATAGGTTAAATGACAACAAATGGATTTTTGTTCAGTCAAAAGCCACTAAATTATCCATTGAATGTAACCATGCAGTCTCTGAGAGTGTCATATCTGGTACAGGTGTACTGAATATTCCAACTAAGTGTGTAGCATTCTATAAAAAACATTAAATTTGTAACCAAAGATTATCCAAAGTTAAATATCCCTAACATCATAACAGATTTTAATATAATTAACGATAGTTGTTGTAATTTTCACCGTTTTAAGGAAATTAGTCCTAAAATTCCTATTTCTAAAATAAAAAGTGTAAATCTAGATAGTCTAAATGATTACAAATCAGTCACCGACCAGATATCTCAAGATCTAGTTTTGGAAAATCCATCTATTAATGACTATGTCGCTTTCACTGTTTTCAATATTTTTAGTATTATTATAATTATTTGTATTATTTTCTATTTCTGTATTAAATGCAAATTATGTAAACGCCTCAGTAGAAACCCTGAAGTTACCACATCCATAAATGAAAACTCAGATAACCCCGTCGCAATTTCTGCTCCTCGATTACGTGTACAATAGTCACGGAAACTTACATTTTTTTAATTTCTTTTTTTGGGGTAAGTTTCCTCTTAAAGGGGGGGTTATTATATACAGGATGCAATTAAAATGACTCTCCAAATTTTTTCTAGGCATTAGGTATCGTTAATAGATCACATATATGAAAAAAACGGTATGTAAAATTTTGAAAATGAAATGTAAACTTGTTGCAATTACAAAGTAATTATAACATTCGCATTGTCACACAAGTTATGAATAAAACAAGCAGGGGTAGAAGGGCGCGGGCGCAGGGGATGTACTCGCATGTGCCAACGACGATGTCTGCTCGGTTTTTTATTTTGTCGGCGCACATCAGTCGCCCGCGCACAACCCCTTTGAACGCACGCACTTCCGTCTTCCGCTTCCGTGTTGCGCGCCACCCGCCGCAGCCCCACACTTACATGGTGCATATTATGAAATGGTGCAGTGTTACATACATGGTGATCAACGTGACGCGGAGGCCCCATCGTGGGGCCTGCGCGATCGCCGGACCTAACACAGTGTGACTTTTATTTGTGGGGCGGAATTAAAAGACGTGTGTATGTTGAGGAAGCACAAAGCCTCGAGGACTTAAAAGTGCAAATCAGAGCGGCATTTTACCAAGTGAAAAATGACACGGTAGTGCTCGCAAAATTAAAAGACAATGTGCAGAAAAGGTGCTAGACTCTGTTTGGAGAGGGACGGTATGTACTTTGAACAATTATTAAAGTATACGTAGGTAAATAGTTAAAGTAGGTAGGTAAATTGATTAGTTGATTATGTACATAAAGTTGATTAAATACGCCTGATTTCAAAAGAATAGCGAGT